CTATCGGGGTCGGCATCTTCCCGTCCCAACAATAGCTTCACTACTCCATCATGTCCATTCCCGGCAGCTAACGAGAGTGGTGTTTTGCCCCCATTGTCCGGCATATTGGGGTTAATATGCTTGCGCCTTAACAAAAGTCTCACTACTCCATCATGTCCATTCTCGGAAGCCAACGAGAGCGCTCTTTGACACAGATGGTCTGGTCTATCTGGGTTGATATCTTCCCGCCCCAACAGTAGCTTTACCGCTCCATCGTGCCCATTCCCCGCAGCCAACAAGAGTGGTGTTCTGCCGTGATTGTCTGGCCTATCGGGATTGGCATCTTCCCGTCCCAACAGTAGTGCCACTACTCCATCATGCCCATTCCCGGCAGCTAGCGAAAGTGGTGTCTTGCCCCCATTGTCTGGTATATCGGGGTTAATATCCTTGCGCCTTAACAAAAGTCTCACTACTCCATCATGTCCATTCTCGGCAGCCAACGAGAGCGCTCTTTGACACAGATGGTCTAGCCTATCTGGGTTAATATCTTCCCGCCCTAACAGTAGCTTCACTACTCCATTATGCCCATTCCCGGCAGCCAACGAGAGCGGTGTTTGGCCACGGTATGTGTCTGGCCTCTCCGGGTTGATACCTTCCCATCCCAACAATAACTTCACTACTCCATGATGCCCATTCTCGGCAGCCCACGAGAGGGGAGTTTGGCCGCCTTTGTCCGGTTTGTCGGGGTTGACGCATCCTCTTCCAAATAGTAGACTCAGCACTCGTGGTGTTTCGCCCCACAGACCGACCCCACTCCCGGAACTGATAAATAGCCGACTAAGAAACAACCTGACCACTCCTTCATGCCCATTCCCAGCAGCCAGCGAGAGTGCCGTCCGACCATATTTCGTGTCAGGCATGTCAGGGTCTATATTCTTCTGTTGCAAGAGTAATTCTACTACTTCTTCACGCCCGTACCTCGCAGCCCACATGAGTGGAGTCACACCCGCCCCATCTCTTTGGTTTGTATCCCATCTTTCCATCTTTATCAAATGAACCGCAACTTCGGAAATGCCGAAATACGAAATACAGTGTAACGCGGAAAATAACTTGTGGGAGTTAATGTGGCTGATAGGAAATCTTCCGTTGATGACTCCCAAAGCAATCTGGCAGATATGTGATTGTCGTATCGAGCAAGAAGCTTGAGGGCAAGTGATTTTGAGCAATCCGAAATCTCCATTCGCATGTGAGTTCCCCAGTATAAGGAAGAGTAATTCAGGAGGGGTACGTGTCCAGGGGGGCTAGTCGAAAGATCCTTGATTGAGTGGAAGTTGAGATAAGTCAAACACGCTTCCGCTATTTTCGCATGAGCTCTGTCAAACAAGTCGGCATGACCCGAAAGATACTCTTTGAGGGTGGAATGGATTAACCTAACAGTCGAGGATCGTCTATCGAGGGCCGCAAGTCCTTGACAACAGCTTAACACTGTCTCGATCGAAGGCACATTTTTGGGATCAAGGTCTACCGATCCTGTCTTGACCGCTAGGGCATGGCATATCTCATCCACATTCAACGACCGTTCCGAATGGGAAATCCACATCAGAGCAGCCATTCCAAGTCTTTCCCTATCCCCCCCTTGTGCCTTTATCCGTCCTATGGTTTCATCGTATGCGTCCCCCAAGTCCAAGCCATTTGTCACCGAACCGAGTTTTTCTCGTCTTCGAGAGATTGTTGTTTCCCGCAAAATCGCCTTGATATTTAGGGACACCAGCAGGAATCTAGAAACAAAATTGTCAATTCACGACCTTGGATATTCTCTCTAGTGCCGTTGTTTTCTACTTACATTTCTGAAACCGTCTCGGGAATGTACTTTATAATCTCCTCCTCCAAACTCTCGTCCATCGCGCCCGGTGTTGTATCTTCTCGCAGTTTCACTCGAAGGAATCTAATGATATCATCCCTAGTGGGTGCTATGGACACAGCCGCTACCTTCCCAGCAAGACGTTTCTCAACCTCACTCCGGATATGCGATCTACCGGCTAGAAATATCCGGGTTCCTGGCGACTTCTGTAGAATTTGGTTTAGTGAATCAAGTAGATTTGCTCGATACTCGGCCACGCATTCGTCCAGAGCATCGATGCATATGAAGGTGCGCCGTGAGGACGAGATGTCCTGTAACACCTCTACTATTTCGACGAGTCCCAATTTTCGGCCCCCGATGGCCTTTTCCCGGTCTCGGAAAGCCTGCACAATCTTAGTTGGGACCTTTTCTAGTCCACCCACAACCTGTTTTAGCAAGGAGCCCAGGATGCAAGTCGGGGACTGCACCCTCTGTGAAGCGAAGTCGAAATAGAAGCACGCGACCGTGGCATTTTGTCCCCTCGTCCAATCGCATAACGTATCTATTACCAGGGAACTAATATCACAGCTTCTGAGCAACGCTTTTGCTTCATGAGGGGCACGCTTTCTCACCTGATGTAGGTCTTGCCAACACCTGGGGCTCCGTGGCAGAATAACGCTGAATTGTCAGATTCTCCACCACGAATACCATTAAACCAACTCCGATATTCCTCGGTTTGTAAGAGCCACTCCCCTACATCTTTGACCCGGCGAGCTCTAAGATCATCGTGCCGTATCAGGGGCTCTAGTGGTGATAACCATGTGAGAATCTCGCTCCTCCTGTCGGCATCACCAAAGTTATTCACGTTGTACTCGTACACATTGAATGGGCTGGTGTTGAAAGAGTTGCTGATATTAAAGGAGTTTTCATTCTTGAAAGGGTCGCTATTTTCCCCGGCGTGGGGTTGTGACATTTTTTTTTTTCTTTTTCGCTGTCTGGATGTTTGCAAAATTGGATCCGATGCCGTTGATGGGCTCTGGGCGCGTCGGAGTCAACTGATAGACTAGAGTTCTTGAGGTTGAAGAAAAGCGGGGTCACCGTCGCCTTGCCCGCCAATCAGCTCGCGCATAAAGGCCCTACGTACAAGCACAAGTACTGGTACAAGGTTCTGTGACATACTAGTACGGTACTGTACAGTACCCGATTTTGTACCGCTATTCTGTTATGATACCCCACAATGTCATGCTCCCTATTAGCGTTACTACAAGCACACAAGTCGCCCAACGAGATCCAGCTTTTCTGAATAACAACTTCCACTATTGTAATAAATATATCAAGATTAAGGAACACGGCTGCAGTTTTTATAGCCCATATAAAAATCTCGAATCATCAGTCTGGGAGGGAAGGAAGGAAGGAAAAAAGGTGGAACTTTTTATTGGTATCTATACAAATGATGGGCGCTTAACGCAAATTTCCAAGATCTTCTACTCGACGGTACAGCACTAGAGAATAGCCAACTACTCGAACCTGTACGAATACAAGAAGCGATAAAACGAGAAATCCCCAGATCCTCATCTATCATACTCGCACATGCCGTACCTTTTCATAATAACTTGGCAGGATACCCGTACCGATGCTACGGATATAACTGTTGCCCCGATTTGTTGGGACTATGTGCGATGGGGGGGCCAACAACAAGCTACCGTACAGTACCTGCGCGTCTAAATTAAGCTAAATCTACGTGAAATTGATTCTGCAGCTATTCATCCCGCTTAGCTTGATGATCCTACCCGCATTACCCCTCCAGCCGAACCGCCAACTTGTTTGGAAGCGTATGTTATCGGCCGTTGAGATGACTCGGTAGGAGCCTCAGGCAAGCCACTTCACACGAGTCTTACAATATGATACGATGTACTGTACTCGAGTACTCGTACAGCACAAGAAGCGAAACCGGCAGGCACTAGGCTTACCCCGTATGCATGCCCCCCCAAAGGCAATATCAACCTATTGCCGCTACCGTGCGGCAGCAAGAGCAGCCCGGGTATCCGCCTTACCGCCCCGGATCATTAAACAGCGAGTCCCACCGTGACTAGTGACGTCTTATGATCGCCACCCCCAGCGATCATCAATCCAAATGAAAGTGGTGATGTTCCGGAATATTACTTATAACCTATAACATTAGGATATTCTGATACCCATTTTCTCCCCAATGGCACACCTCCTACGCCAATCCCCTCATTAAACCCCAGCGGGTTCTCAGTCGGGCAACAACTCATCACCAAACGAATCCCACACCCCCGGTAGTTAATCGAGCATTCACGCACGGTACTCCCCCCACAACCTAACGATCTTATCACCAGAAAAGCTGCAATACATTTAAGCAAGCAAATAGGTGATCCCCTTCCCTCCCTCCGAAAATCACAAAAAGCACTCCAAGGTACCTTAGCCATCACCCCACCCCTTCGTGAAGAACACCAGAAAACTCAGCCACTCATACCGTGATCAATCCCAACTTCTGAGAGGAACTTGGCGGATACAGTGGGATAAGATACCTTTGACTCATACCGGCGCCTACAATCACACCATGTGAGGATCGCACTACGGGTATAATAACTCACCGCACCACCCGGCTCGTTCTCAGTTTCGGTTATGTACGCGTTACGGTGCTTCTCGTTCTACCTGACCCGGGAGGTTACGATAATGTGCACGTCCCTACTACGGTCCCTGCCACGGCAGGTACTGTTATTCCACCCCAGCAGTCAGGGTATATAACAGTATCATAAGTAGAAGACTGTACAGTACATACCACCGGTAGTAGAACGCGCAATAATTTGGTCGTTAAGTTTGTACTAGAAGAAAAAGAAAGAAAAAAAAGAAAGAAAGCAAAACAAGAAAAGGTCCCCCCGTCACTTATCCGTCGGCTAAATTCCTAGTATGGTATACGGGGTTCTATCTTGGTAGATACGTCGGGGTATCTAAAACGGCAGGGGCACTATTCGCGAATTCTGTGTAATAAATATTCATCACGTCTACTGTGAAGGCTCGAACACAAGATGAATGTATGCTAGAAAGTTGTAGTTGCCCTACCAGGTAAGGGGTTGGATATGTCTCCTTTGTTTAGTCCCACCCCAGAGCTGAATTTTTGCCGCTTTCCTCTCGTGTATCCAGGCAAGATGGCTCCAGTACTCCGGTACATCTAACTCGTACCCGAGCACTCAGTACGGTATCACTTTGGGGGGCGATCATAGCAGATCACTCGCTTCTCACATTCTACCTTCATGGACGGACGTTGCTAGAACCAAGCCTAGGCACACTAGGGACGTTTCAAATTGTATAGGGGGTGTAAGCATCTACAATAGTAGGGAACATCATACCCCACAAAGGGTATGAATATGTTCCACCAACGCGCCCATTACATTGTGCAAATCAACCCACGCTCCCTTAGCTCTTTTCGGCCCACTTCTCTGCCTTACCAGCGGTATAACCGGTATAACCCTCCTTCGTGGGATCAAAGACATAGAATGGAAACTATGGGTATCGTCAGAATGAATCGGCAACTTGAATTGAGAAAAATGGGGGAGCACCTCAAGGCCGATGGTCCTCTTGACAACCGTCGGTAATGCCATCCAGACCCCACTGGGCATGGGTATGAGTATACTGGTACACTTCAAATATTCGCTATACCCCTCCCAATCAATCCCATTCTGATATCTTCGCTTGGCGATGCCCTTCTCACTCAAAGACAGTCCTAATTTGAACAATACTATGAGCAGCGAGAGTATTGGCGCCACAACAGTCGCATATTGTATTGCGGCCGGCCTGCCCTTAACACATCCATCAACAGAAGGGGTGATGGTAATCAACCAGATCCCAAAGTGCAAAATAATTTCTCCAAAGTAATTTGGATGACGAGAATACCTCCAACATCCAGTGCGCATGAATAGGGACCTATCCAGACGCCCAGGACCATTGCGGAAGGCATATTTTTGCGCATCGGCTACTGACTCGATAAGGAGGCCAGCTATAAACAGGGTCGTACCAACAATGTCCGTCGCACTGCCGAACACAGGCTGGTGGAAAGAACCGATTTTGGGGGAGTTGAGAATTGTGATAGGCAGCGAGCCGGTCCAGGACCAGACCATATGGGAAATCCAGCGTATCAATGACGGAAAGATATTTGTAAATATTCCGTCTATCTAATTTGTCAGCCACGGAGAATAGAAGCAAGGGATGAGAAGGATACCGAAAAGGTTACCTCTCCTAGTTCTCAGGGCCCACCCAGTCTTCCAGAAGCCAAGGAGTAGGAACCCGATGAAGCGGGCGGCCCATAGCACCATGAATACAGATGCTAAAATATTCTACCCCCCTCACATTAGCCACTTGGCAATCTCATCCAGAGCTGTAGGCAGAAGATAATTTCGATGAGAAAGATAACTTGATCGCCCCCCCCCCCCAAAAAAAAAAAAACATCACAATGTCTTGAATGCTCTACTTCTAAGCTTTCCAAGCTTTGTAGGGGCAGCCGGAACACCGCTCTCATTTAAGGGGTATGAAGGAACATACTCTGATGTTTCCACTCCCACCAACAGCTGTCACAAGCGCAAGAACCACGAAAGTTGCCCCGCCGACGTAGGCTACCCAGGTTAGCCACCATAAGTGAGAATTGAAAACATAGCAGCCGCAGAGGGGGGCCATACGAATGAGTCTGTCAAGACCCATAATAAAGATCCAACCGGCGAACCTGATGTGGTAGAAGAGAGTGATCAAGAGTGTTAGGTTGACAAAATAGTCGTCTAGGAGGAAAAATTCTCCCATATCGTTGTTGGCTGAATTGTACCGGTAAAAGATTCAAAGTAAGAGTTGAGAGTGTGTAAGATTGGTATTGAATTTGGATACAAAGTGAATGAAGGAAATAAGAGAGGATGAGCAAACATGGGGTTTATATTCTACATTGTGAGAAATCCTGTGAGTGTGATAACAACCGAGCCCACAGGCAACGCGGGCTACGGGTAAGCGTTCCCAAGAAATATGTCTAAAATGAGTTATGTAAATAGGGTTGGTGGGATTTGAGGTTGGCAGCGGGATTCACCGTGTCAAAGGATCTGGATGAATCTCCTTTAGGGCCGGCGGTGGGTGAGGCTCCGCCAGGTGGGTGGGCACCGTACTCTGAGAATAAAAGGCATCCACAATGAGCTCCGTGATTTTTAACAGACCATACCACCACAATTGGAAGGTGAGGGGCCTGACTGAACGACTAGATTTCAGCTATTTCCACAAATCTAGGTAGACGCAGAGACATTGGTTCTATCATGTCATAGCAGAACGGGATAACTTATTTGTCGCATTCCGAATACAGAATACGGGTACCAGCGCCGTAGGTAGAGGACAGTGCTCAAACAATTGCTTGGTATTGTGTGATAGGTATGATAAAGCACGGGTCAGCAGCCGGTATGAAAGGAGAAGCAGTAGAGTGTGGCGCCTCCCACAAAGGGGAGCACGGACACTGGTATTAGTAGGGTGGCATTCAGCTTGACACGACTTGCCATATCATACTTGTGCTGTAAGATGCAGGTACGAGTGGAAATACGAAGCGGTGGTGATGGTGAGGGTAATCCACCTTTCCCCCCTTCAAAGTGCATGGCCAAAAAGAATTCTCTTATCCAATGTCCTCTACCAACGGCAACACACGACACCATTTCCCGAAAATCAAATACACCGATGTATCCCCGGAGAATCACAATGCAGGATCACGAGAACGTTTCAGCTAGGTCGCAGCACCAGTAATTCACCATCTAGTGGAGGACTTCCCGTAGGATCTAGAAAAATCTAGAGGGTAGAAAATGGTTTAGAATGCAACTGTAATTCCCGTAGCACGGCATGGTTTCCAGATATTAAGATTTTCTATATACAGTAGATATAATAAAAAAGCCAAAATAAATAAATTAAGAAGATGTTGTTATGTTCATAGTTAATACCCAGTCTTTACAAGAAATTTAATACATAAAGAAAATGGCAAAATTGGAGGAGTGGTGGTGACGAAATGAAGACGAAAGTTATTGAACTACCGGATTCATACCAGACAAGATACCATACCTGAGAGTGACTCGGAAGAACTACTTAGCAACGATGATACCTCCAAGTTACTAACTGAAGCAACAAATGAAACAATAAACATGTCTCTAAAGCGGAAGGTAAGTTAATCTCTGAATGATGGTCTTTAAGTGATTGAATATGAAAGTTTAATACTTACAGAAACTAAATAGTTACAGTTACCAGGACCAGTCGAGTCGCAGTTTGAAATGCCAGTGGTTCATTTAAGCCCTCAGGCTGGGGCCAGTACTCAGCAAAAAGGTAGATGGCCAATTACTACTATAATAATGGAGACTAATAATAGAGGTATAGGTGATCAGCTCGAGACAGAATATATTATTCTATCGCATGAATTATCTTATGATTCAAAGATATCTGCAGGTAGGAGTCCAGAAAGAAGAATGGATATTGTAGCTAACTGGCCCGGAGATAAAAAAACAAAAAGCCAAGAGGTGGACGAGCAACAGGGTCACAAAACTTTACTGAAAATGATCGGAAAAGAGCTTTGTCAGTCATTCGAAGAGTCAAGCCATTTGGATCAAATAAGTGGGAGCAAGTATCCTCGGAGTATAATATTATATCTCAGATTGAGAAGCGGAAAGAACGGGATAGTGATTTCTTAAAAAAATATTATACTGATAAGGTTTGTGAGGGGCTTTCAAAACCAACCGGAGATCCAAATCTGAGCTGGGAACTCTATGAGGTTAAACTGATAAGACAAGAGATCGATGGCTTGCTTCAAATGGGGAGTATTGAGGATAACTATGATGAGGAAGAGGTGGATAAAGACGGTGGAGAGAGCAATTGGCTTGGTGATGAAATCAATAATCATTTAGGTAGGTACAACTAAGTCAGCTAGTACATTAATAAGATAGAAAAGGACTTAAAGCTAACCACAAACTAAAAGAGAGGAGCGACGATCATGACTGTGTATTAGGTGAAGCTGAAGATGAGTCTCATATTCAATATGAACAGGAAGAACCAAGGTGGAATCCAGTACGAGTAAGTTTATGATTTATCTCTACTTGTAATTAAATATATTTAAGAAATAATTGGATCAAAGTATTAATTAATAAATGGTAATAGGACTTGGAGCAGGAGAAAACAGGACTAGCGAAGTCTACACAATCAGCACCAGCAATACCGGAAAAATATCCCAAAGTTACCATGTCAATTGAACGCCATCCCCGCCTACAGCCAACAACTTCTACAAATGCGAATCAATTTCTTTCTCAAATGGTAGCAGCAATTGAGAAAGATACCGAAAGAAGAGATAGTGATAGTGAGGCTATACAGGTGGTACGAGTAGCCTTGGAGAAATGTGAAGCACGGTATGATAAGTTGGAATCTCGGTATGACCGCTTAGAGCAAAGGTATCAGCAGTTGGAGGAGGAAAACAGGAGGTTAAGGGAGGAAATTGTACTGATTCGTACCTGAATCATGTATCTACTAGTACTCTGACTCAGAATATATTACAAGCAGTATTCGCAATGGGGCAGTCCATCCATCCTGGACCAGGACCAGGATAGACAGAATTTTGTCGTCCCATCCGGTCATTTTCTCAACATGCCTAACAGGTAGGAATAAAGTACAAGGACGGACTCTATTGTGTTATCTGGTCCGGTCTTTTCCTAAACTTGCCCGATATATGAGAGTAAAGAACCATCTACTAATAGTTTCTTGCTGTCACCCACAGTCATCCACTGTTCCTCGGGCCTGCTATCCCTTAAACCCCCAGCCCTTCCCTACCGTCTTCTACTATCCCCTACTATCTCCCATCATCCCCTACTATCCTCCACCGTCCCCCACCATTCCCCACTGGCACTATCTCCTACTGTCCTCTACCATCCTCCACTATCTCCTTCTGTCCTCCACCATCCTCCACTATCCCCCACTATCTCCTATGATCTCCGTTGATCCTATATAGTTACCTGCTATCCCCTACTAGAAGTTGCCTCAGATTGTAGGACTCATTATCCTTCCATATGAAAGTCATCCTAGAAGTTTAAGGATAAGGACAGACTGTATGTTGCTGTCCTGTTCCATCCCGGGCTCTTGGCCATCTCTCTGTTGGGCCCTGGTATGGGGGCCCCAGATTTTTGAAAACACTGATTACAAGTAGGTTTTAGGCTCTGAGAAGTTATCCTAAGGTTTACCTGTCTAGCGTTTGTTACGGGGCCTCTGGGGCCCCAAAAAAACACGGGCCCCTGGCCCTATTCCCCACCCCGGCCAGCTCACCGGCCCGGGGCGGCGCATTTTTGGAGGCTGGCCCTGTCCCGTCACCCGCCAGGGGCCCCACTCTACCCATGCCCCAGATGGGCCCCTGGCAAATTTAGGTGGGAAGATGAGGGGGCGGGGTGGAGAGGACTGTCATAATACCCCCCCGGGCCCATGCAATGGTGGGCCCAAGAGGGCAAACCCCACCCTGCTCCACCCTGTAACGAACACTATACCTGTTTGTAAACAATAATAAAAATAACATTATCTCCCTGGTCCCTCCTAGCTTCTTCCTAACTTAAAACTAATTGAAAAGTAAATACTATGGTACAAAGGAATAGTAGCGTCGAATTCTATCATTTTTCTTAATATCAGAAAATAATAACTCCTTAAACTCTATATATAAACCACTACCCTGCCAGATCCCTTCATAGACAGTCCTTATTTGATTTATTCCTTCAAGTCGTGTACGGAGGTTATGTAACCATGTACATACCTCAAGAAGCCGATACCGGTATTCTGCATTTTCGGCTGGCATAGGTAATTTTAACCGTCCAAAGAAGCCTTGCAAGCATCGCATCCCCCACTCAGCTGCCTGCCTTGCTGAAACAAGCTGTTCATTAAACTTAATAAACCTATGACAGGCAGCTGCATCACCAGGATAACTATTGGAATTCGATTTGGGAGGAGTGACTATCCGGCCGGTAAGATCCTTCGAGGTAGGAAATGTGGTATCACCAATAATCCAATACGGCTCCGGGGTATTGTGAAGAAGTTTCGTAAAAAGATCGTGTGATACTGCTGCATCATGCCAACTACCGGGAGCATTTATAGTTGCATGAATAATAGTACCATCTGGAGCAAATACAAAGACGTTGGAGGTAAAGTGTGCCGAACACCAACCGTTATAATAGGCATTTTGTAGGTCATTATTTGCTGCAGCAGTAATAGGAAGATGGCAGCCATCAATGAAACCAAAAGCATGTTTCAAAAGTAGGTGGCGGTGCTGGATAAGAGCAGAGTATTCCTGCAAATGCTGTTTGGTTGGCCGGGTAACTCGTGCCTCGAAGAGGTCCTGTAAAACTGTTTGCAAAATAGAAAGAGACCAGTTTCGATATCTGGAGCAAACTGCAGGAGTGATGCCAAATATCTGTTGAAGGCTATAATCAGCCATGGTTGAGTTGAGATGGTGCAGAACAAGTCCTAAGGCACCTGCCGATGTCAAAGAGCGGTGATGAACTCTTGGTCTCGCATCAGGTGAGATATCACCTCGTGGGATTGGTAAGGTATTCCAGGCTGCCGTAAACCCTGAGTTTAGCAGTTGATGAAAAACGGAAACTCCAATTCCCATGGTCAAAATAAATGCACGATCATCCTTGGATCCATAGAGGTGCTCCCAGGCTGTTCCAGACCGAGGAGATGGGTTGAGGTTGCTCCGGGTAAGGTAGAAGCGCTTATGTTGCCGATGCTGCTCTTTGTAACTTTCATGCAAAAGAATAAGAAAGAGGAGAATCTTTTTGAGAAGAGAGTGTTTCATGAGGAGCGTAGGATATCGTTCCGTTCACCTCTTTGGGATATAATAGTTTATGCTCGGTGTATGATAAACGTTGCTTACTCACGATCTACTTATTGAGTTGTTTATTTAAACCGGATTGCTTTCTCATCATCACGCTACTGCTTCAAATTTGGTATAGCATGAAAACTCGACCATCCAATTGTTACTTGATTTCCAAATTTTTAAACATCCTAAATCTGAACCACCCCCCCCTCCCCCTTGGTTCAGAC